AAAAAAAAAAATGCCAATTTCATTATTATTTTAAAAACAACAGAAAATACCAAGTGTTGGTGAGAATGTAGAGAAAATGGAACCCTTGTGCCCTGCCGGTAGAAATGTAAAATGACGCCATGTCTATGAGAAACAGTATAGCAATTCCTCAAAAAATTCTAAATCAGAATTACCATATGATCTTACCATATGATCCAGCAATCACACTTCTGGGAATATACTCAAAGGAATCAAAAGCAGGGTATAGAAGAGATATTTGTCCACTCATGTTCATATCAACATTATTCATAATAGCCAAATGTTGTCTGTAATCCAGGTGCCCATGAATGAATAAATGAATGAACAAAATGTGGTCCATCCACACAATATTATGTTATTCAGCTTTTAGAAAGAAGGAAATTCTGGCCAGGCATGGTGGCTCACACGCCTGTAATCCCAGCACTTTGGGAGGCTGAGGTGGGTGGATCCCCTGAGGTCAGGAGTTCGAGACCAGCCTGACCAACATAGTGAAACCTCGTCTCTAATAAATGCAAACAAACAAACAAAAAAAATTAGCTGGGCATGGTGGTGCATGCTTATAATCCCAGCTACTTGGAAGGCTGAGGCAGGAGAATTGCTTGAACCCAGGAGGCTGAGGTTCAAGAACAATCTTAATCCACAACAGATAACCACTAACAACACCTTCTGAGGGAATTAGACTCAAAGGACATCAGCAGAGGTATATGAACATATATCCAACCGCAATGGTTCATAGCACATTATTAATTAATATGAAATGTGATACTCAGGGCACGAATAACATTAATAATGAAACAAACATGTAGATCATCCACACAAAGTAAAAAGTAATTCAGAACACTTATAGAAAAAAGACAATCTGAGTCAGGAACCAGCGGTGGTCACCCACTGATATCCCACGCACTGAGTTTGACTGAAGTGGGTGGAATCCCCTGGGTCAGGATCGAGACCGAGACCTGACAACAATTGATGACAACCTGTAAACATGAGTCACACATAACATGTCAAACATACAAACAAAAAATTAGCTGGGCAAATGGGGTTGCACCTCTCCAGCTACTATGGCAGGCATGAGGCAGATGAACGTGAACCCGAGGCTGAGGTTCTGGGAGCCGAAGATTGTCACCCATTGCACTCCAGACTGGCCAACAGAAGACAAGTAGAAATCACACAAAAAAAAGAAAAAAAAAAAAAACAGAAAGAAACATAGGATAAATTCTGACAAGCACACCATAAATGAAGACCATTGGGAACATTATGCTCATGCACAAGCAAAGCATAGACACAAAATACATTGATTTCACACTCCATGACGAACGCCAACAGGAGTTGCTGGGAATCAATATAAAGAGCCAGAAAGTTAGAATGGTGGGTGCCAAGCTATGAGGATGGAATGGGCAGGTGCAATTAGTCACAAAGACACAGAGATTCAGGATTCTGCAACCAAAAACAAACAGTGATGAGGATGAAGGTGATGGGCCAGAAGACAAACTGAGAATGGCATCCTTACCTAACTCATACTGTACCCTGTCTAAGACAACATTGGTTTATAAAGTCGAAA